AATGAATCAACGAAATTAGCGTAGTTGAATCTTTTGAGGGACGTAATCATGGGGTTCTGAGTTGGGAAGCGATGGTGAAAATTGTCTGTAGACAGGTTTGTTCGGTAAAAGGAAGAAAGTAAAGCAAGAAAGAGATCAGTTTTTTTGTTTTTAAACATCGAAAACCCATAGTCCAATCCCTGACCACCGTACACATAATCAGTAACTTTGTATTGCTTGCGAGTTTGGCAGAGATCAGTGAAGCGAGCTTCACTGTATTTCAATGTACGATGATGATGATGGTAGTCACGATGAGGTAATGTTCATGGTGAGAGCGTTGCCACGTGAAATGAAGCGCAGTACAAGACCCCGGTCACAGTAATGGGGCGCGCCACACCGAGAAGCTGTTCACATGGAATCCCACCCACTCTGGGGGAACTTGGGGCTAACAAATGTAATCCAAGGTTGGTGTGATTCGCGTAGTGGAGTAATTCTCATATATTTCTTCTCAAAGAGGTTTGCTGTTTCGCTCTAACCCATGTGTGATAGAACTTTGTGTCAAGTTTTAGACCATTCCTGCCTTCGGTCCTTTGTTACCGTAACGGACCACCGTTCACTGACGCCGGTGTTGCACTGTTCTCGATTGCTATTGTTGACACTGTCCTTCGATCATCATGTGAACTCATTCGTCTATTTCATCATGTGTTGTGTGTGTGTGTGTTTGTCTGTGCTCCCTCCTACCCAGCTGGTCCGATACACCGAAATGCTTTTCACTCGGGCTTGGGAGGTCCGGTACACAAACATTAACTGCCTGGCGAGCATCCTTTCCGGGTTAGCTGTATTTCATCGGGATTTTGCCACCGCCGTGGTTGACAATGTGATTGAAGATGTACGGGTCGGAATGGAGGTGAGTACTGTACCTGTTTCTTGCTTTCGCATACACGTATAATGAATACTACTCGTTCACACCAGTTGGCATGATAACTATTTTGATTAGAAGTAACGTTCTGTTTTTGAAGTGAGCGACTTCAATAACCTGAAGGACTCAACTATACTTCATCCCTGGGATATAGAAAACACATCGTCCACTGCACTCAGATTAGAAACGCTCTCAAGTGCATCACCCTGGAGTCAAAGACCAGAAAGTGTCAGGCTATTGTAAGTTCAAACCATACAGAAGTCCTAAAACGGAAGTGCTCTCCGGAAGCTTGACCTTTCTCATTTCCAAAGTTTATGTTCAACGTTATTCGGAAACCACGGACACCCTTTGGCTAAATCGAAAATACGAATACTGATTAAAATACTTGGTGAAGTAGTCCCTCATCAACTGCTGAGTTGGGAATTCACTTCTAATGAAGAGAATAATTATACAATCCGTCGAACACAACGCTCTGAACTAAAAGATGAACGCGATACT